TCAAGCTAACTTAATCCATTCACCAATTCATGTTTACCCAACTTTTTTGTAATTCAAGATCTAAAAGATCTATAAAGGGCACTATGCAAATGTTGACCTCACACCCAGTTGTTGTTTCAAAAATGCAAACATACCCTAACTTTTATTTTTTCTTTAATTACAGAATTTGACTGTTATTATTTGTTTGGGATCAGATGTGTTTGTGTCATTTATACGTGTCCCGGCATTCATCTGGCTCTTATCTTGGTAAAGAACTACCTTCAGAAGACCAAAGGGAATGTTATTGACTGGCCTGGAAAAAAGCCTTGAATCACATTGAAAATCTGTGAAGTGAACTTAAGACCAAGGTCTGTCTCCAGAAGACAAACAAATCTCAAGAAGCTTGGGAGAGAGACCATTGAAGAATGGGCTGGGATTAAAGCTGGGATTAATAGCCTTTATTTAAAAATAAATAAAGGCTATTTTGTCAAAAGACAGACTTTTAAAGAAAATAATATGAGTAGTAAAAAACCCAAAAGCATCCCAATAGACTACTTGAGAGACTGTATTGATTTGTGGATTAAAACATGTCCATGAATCAGGCTACCAAAGACCCAAAGACAACAAATTAATGGTATATTTGGTACAACACATGCAGAATATTTCCATTAGGCTTATATTTTAGTTAATGGAATAAAGCTTCAGTAAAGACCTGGAGATAGCTGACAGAGAAAATAGACCATAATGTTTTTCTAACCTTTCAGTCAAGAATCATACGGCTTTCCAGAACATGAGAAAGTGAGGCTGAATGAGTAACAATCACATATATGCTTGTTTTACAGTATTGTGTAACTGGTCTGTCACCTCCAACACCCAGGGTTTGAGCCGGTGATCCAACAGTACATCGAAGCCTAGGATCTCAAAGCATGCGCTGCCGGTGGTGTGGTTGGGGAAACACGTTTGGTAGTTGTGCTTGAGTATGGGATGGGCCGAGATCAGAGTCTTTATGATCACGTCCTCGATGTCGCTCCACATCTTCTCTGTGCTGTAGTTCATGGACTCCAGGAGCTTGTTCAGGGCGGACAGCTTTCTGAACGGAACAACAATGAACACGGATTCTTTAAAGAGCGTTGGCGATGTACTGCATCATGCACCATCTTCAGTGTGAGCAGTATTCACCGTTTGCTCCCAGAATCCTCATCACGGACAAAATTCTCGCTGTGCTTGTTGATGGAATAGTTGGTGAGATGCATACACACGTCATCCTAATGTTAGAGAGACTAGTTACTATTTATTTAAGTAATTAAACTCACAGGAACACGTATACAACAATAAATAAAATAAAATAAAATATGATACAAAATATAAAAAAACAAAAACAAACAGATAAACTGACCATTTGAACTATTCTGCCAAATTCCTATCACTAACTTGGGGCTTTTATTCTGAAAATTCTCCATAGATTTACTTCCAGAGATATATGCAGAGTTAACTGGACCTAAATAAGTGTGTCTCTAGAAGTCAGCCCGGGCACCGGTCAGTCCATCTTTAACAGTTCTTACCACATTGCTGAGCATTGGTTCGCTGTACTTTGTGGTACAGAAGCGAACCAGGCCCTCCTTGAACATGAAAATGCTGAATGGGTCACATGACGTCACGAGCACGTAGACACGCAGGTCAAACTTGTACCCATCAATGATGAAAGGCTGAAGAGGTCATTTATAAAGAACGGAAAAAGCATCATACACTGTGCATTTTGTTGCAGGTGTTTTATGCGTTGCACCCGTTTGCTCACCCTGGAGATGTAAACCTGGCAGATCATATGTTCTCCAGGTTTGATGTCTTTACTGGATTTGGTGATGAAGATGCCTTTGCCTTGACAACCGGTGTCAGGCTTACAGATATACGTCTTGTGTTTTTTGGCCCTGGTGTAAGCATGGAAGTCGCTGTAACTGCAGTGAGATAGAGAGGATGAACACAGATGAGTGAACCTATTATCTTTTTAATTCCTAAATATTAACAACATTGTTTTAGGGGGGGGGGGGGGGGAACCTCACAGATCTAACGTCACGCACTGGATGAGAAAGAATTATATTAATACATAAGAGGTGTTTGAAAAGGTTTAGTGATCCTTTTTAAAATACGTGGAAGATTTAGAGCCAGAATAATAATTAAAAAAACAAAACTCCTGTTTCTGTTTTTGTTTGTTTTGTTGAATTTGTGCACTAGAGGGTTTTTTGTCTTTCTTATTTTTATTTTGTAGTTTTCAAAAATGTGGTAGATCGATTTTGGGAGGAAATAAAACAGAGTGGAAAGTGCAGACTGACTCTGCAGGAAGGCACCATGTTCTGGGGAAGATGTTGTAGTCTTTGGGAAAGAGCTTCAGCATGCGGTTCATGTTTCTGGCCAGAGAATCCTTGCGGCAGATCTCGCTCATCCCCGGGAAATGGTTTATTTTCTGCAAAGACATGTTTACACGGCATTACAGGACAGTCGCCTACAATATATATTAAACAATCAGTCACCAATTTAAAATCACAAGCACTGATCATGGAGTGTTCTGCTTGGAATTTCAGGTCCTGGCATTTATGTTGCTGTTGCTTTCAGACATATTGCTCAGAAATATCAAGAGGAACATGGCAAAGAGCCCACATCTGTGATCTAGACTTCAAATTCCCCCGATCCCAACTGAGCACCAGAAGAACACACCTAACAGTGTAGCAGATGCAGTAGATGTAGCTCCAGAGCCTGAATAGTGAACCCTGTGCAGAAGTGCCTTAAACCTGCATTATTTCTAACAGCCAGCAGGGAGTGATGACTCGCACTGCAAACAGCTCAAGATGAACAGAAGTCTATGAGAAGACAGTCCTTGGCCTCATCGCTCTGCGACCTCAGTGAACCTTTTTGGGATGGGTTTAAACAAACGGAGACGCAAAACCCAACCAGGAAGAAAAAAATGAATAAATAAAAAAATCTAGAAAATCAAACATGCAGAGTGACCTCCTGTAAATAGAGGAACAACCCAAAGTAGCTCGTAGATGTCCATGGCTTTTTGTAGCATCTGGTTTAAAAACACCACGCTGTTGATGGTAAAAACACTCAGCTCAAGACTTCACTAAACACTGGGTGATATCACAGTAGTTACATCTTTTAAACAAGTCTGATACACAGAGCTCCCACCCCACAACCGCTACCAAAGTCCCAGTGCTAGACACCGGCGCACAACTCCAGTGGTGTAATATCCATGCTGCAACAGGCCAGAAGTGTTTTGACAACACAAGAGAAACCTAAATAATATTAATGTAGGCTAGCTAATGTATGATAGATAGATAGATAGGATCTCGAACAAATCTACTTTAATAAATTACTCATGGTCAAAGAGAGTCAGGCTGACTGCATCGAATTACCCAGTATGATGGCAAATTGAAAGCATGGACTGAAAAAGGACATGTACATCATCATTTCACTGGTAAAGATATTTAGAAAAATGTCATAGTTTGAAGAAACTGATGAATTTTCCGCTTCACAAATACAATCACACATTTAATCAATAAATAATCAAATGAAGCATCAATAATCTTTTCTGATGATGGCAGTGATGGAGGTGTTAGGTTAGTTAGGTGCATTGATTACCTGGTAACGCTTCATGTCCTTAACACGGTCTAGAGACACTGAGCAGTCGGTCCAGAACAGCGTCCAATCTTCACCGTCCATCGCCTCTCTGAGGCCGTATCTACGAGCAGCTCGCCACACTGTGACAAATCAAGCATTTAGCATCTTAACAGCGCTCCATCTGTTTCCCACAGGCAACCAGAGGCCCCTCTCTGCTTGTACAGTGTTTTAAAGTGTATTGTAAAAAAAAAGAAGCTGTTTTTTTATATGAAATACATTGAGTGAGACAAACTTTATAAAAATTACCGTTATTATTTAGATGTTGTTGTTTTGTTTTGTTTATTCCTGGCAGTTTTAAAAGTAGGACTGGATTATTGGTGGTATTTTACTGTGCAGTTATTAGATGCTTTATCTGTTACTGAACCTTTTTGTTTTGTATTGTGTGAATTTGATGTGTTTTACAAAGTCTGTTAAGTAATCATGTGATTACTTCACATTTGGGATTTTATATATTTATTTTATATCGAGCCTTGTGTGACCCCTCAGTTAATCAACTTCCTGAAACCTTTCAGCCATGATTGTTCTGATTGGCTGCCCCTTGTAAATAGCAGATTTGAAGTTTCCCTGCTCACGCTGAGAGGAGGAATATAAAATATGAAACTGAGTGTTTAGAGCTGTCTGAAACATTAAACACTAAACACTCAATGATGAAATCAGGGTGAGCTTTTAGTGCATTGTGACTTCATCATTTGAAACTTGCCCACGCTCAATATGATCATACATCTCTATAATACTGTATATATGATGAAAATAAGGATTTACAGCAGAGATCCAAATCGAAAAAGCACTGTCCACATGCTTTTATCTATTTGACATCTGTAGTATTTGTATTCAGCCTTGTCTAGCTAGAAACAACTTAAAATTGGACATATATGATTTAGTGATCTCTAGCAGACGTACCACTTTCATATTTGCAGTTGGTGAGGTTGATCCACAGTCATCTGAAAGACAAAAGAGACAGAAGAGGGACAGACATCTGCTGTGCTGCACAGTGCCTCGTTTTGCTCTCCTGAACGATGAGGATAAGTGAGAAAAGAGACCTTAAGAGCCTCCAGGACGAGTTATAGAATCATAACTGACAGGGTGCTTGGCAGTTAATATACCTGCAAAGGGAGATAACAGCAAAAGTACAACCCCAGTTCTGAAGTAGTTGATGCTGTGTAAAATGTAAATGAAAACAGAGTGCAATGATTTGCAAATCTCATAAATACATATTTTATTCACAATAGAACACTGAAAACATATCAAACGTGTTATATCTATTCCAAACACTCTCAACAGAAATAAATGACAAACAGTTCAGTAAATGGGAGAAATTATTATTGTGCTACAGTTGGCAAGGGAAAAACCCAGAATAAGATTTCAAACTCTTATACTGGCAAAGAGCAAGGGAGAGCTTACATTACTGTGATTAAAAGATTATTATACTCTGGCACAATTAGGGGCTCTATTTTGCTGTTGCAACTCAAATTACAAAGTAAGATGGAAGGAAATCTAAGAGCACATTTCTGGGGATATTCTAATTCAAGCACAGCTGGGTGATTACAAAAAGGGATCCAGAATTAAATGGACATAGGTAGCATATGGATTAATCCCATTCATGGATGATACGGTGAACTGTGTTCACAGACAGTGTTTTCTGGAAGTGTCCCTGAGCCTGTGTAGTCTGTGTATTTCAATGACAAAACCATGCCTGTTTTTAAGGCCGTGCCACCTGAGGGCTCAAAGATCACACAGGCATCTAATGTTGATTTTGACCGTAACAATATCCTGATATCTGTATCACAATTTATAACCACGCTTTTTTGAGGTGAGCCTCTCTCTACAGCCCCATCATGTTAACAACTTGTTGCTAATTAAGCTAATTACTTATAAAATGTTTCTTTTTAGCATCAAATACTTATATTGAGTTCACGTGACATCCTTCTAAATTACTCCACACTCAAAACTGTTAGCATCCTAGGTTTTTAGGTGATGTGTTTTATGTTTTTTGGTTTATTTTTGGATTTTTTCTTGTTCCATGGCATGTTGTCTTTATAGTTTAATGTTGCTTTCCTTGTACTTCCAAGTTTTGCTATTTATATTTCCGGTCCTTAGTTCTGTATCAGTGTTAGTTTCACTCTTGTGTCACCCTTGTTCTGTATCTGTGAGTAGTCAGTCTTTGTCTCTGTATTTGTTTGCCTTTGGTCTGTGTCCAGTTTCATGTCAAGGTCATAGTGTGTATCTGTTTATCTTCTTTGTTTAGTTTGTAATATTGGGTTATCCTCATCTGTGATCTCGCTCTGTGGTTGTCTGTTCTCTCAGATTAGTCTTGTGTCCTCTTTCAGTCATGTCTCGGTGTTCTGTTACTCTGTTCCTGTGTCAAGTGTGTGTGTGTCTTGTCTGGGCCTCTGTCTCTGAGTTTGTTATGGTTCGTGTCTTATTTTGATAGTCCCTTTTCTCATGTGTCTCTCATCAGTTAGATTCTCTTCACCCGTGTTGCCCAGGTGTTTCCTCTCTGCCCTGCTTCCTTCCTGTGCATATATTGTCCATATAATTAATTCCTGTGTAGTCTGAGTTTTGGTATTTTTGTATTAAAAAGCTGTTTTGAGTGCAGTCCTGCCTCTGAGTCTGCACCCTGCAGCTACACATTAACACATGACAAAAATAAGGAAATTAACATTTAACTTCAGTTACCACGTTGACATTTCTTAATTATTACTTTTCTCATCTTAAAAACTCATAGGTTCACGATCAACCCATGTAAGGTTGGAAGTGCAATTTGAATAATGGACACACTCTTTTGAAAGAATTTTGTCTGGTTGGAGGAGCCAAAGCAGCCAATTTTACAGAATAGTGAGTTACACCCACTTAACAAAACTTTGAAAAGAATTAACCCAACATTTCAAAGGTATCATTTTATGATCTGTATACATATTAGATTAATTTTTAATTTATAGTTTCTCTCTTTTGTTTTAATTATAGTCAATAAATTCAATAAATATTTTAATTCTGGAAAGATTACCAATTTAAGAATATATTTGAGCCTTTTGTTGCCCCTTACCAACTTTTTTGAGACATGTTGCTGCCATCAAATTCAGAAAGCGCTAATATATTTATTTAAAAAAATGGCACATTTTCTCAGTTCATGTTCTTTTGTGAATAAAATACAAGTTTATGATCTTTGCAAAACATTGCATTTTGCTTGTATTCACATTTTATACAGCGTTCAAACTTTTTCAGAATTGCCATCGTACAAATGGACGAGCTCTTGCAGTAAAGTACCTCTTCTTGCTTTTCCTTCTCTGCTTGTTGACGGGTTGCGGCATGCATTTGTAAGATTCAGTTTGGCTTTTGCTCTCCTCTCCCTCACCCCACTGCTCACATTTATGTGTGTCGGTGTTTCTTTCTGGGCTGTCCAGAGGTAGACCCATCCTGAATGAGAAACATGTGCTCAGCTGACCTGCAAGGCATGCCAAAAACTTCATGAAATTGTGACACAAACAGAAAAATGATCAATTTTCCAACACTCATATCTCTCATTCTGAATGGTATGTGCCATACAGCCACACAATGAAATTCAATCAATTAGAACAAACTACATGCTGTAAGTGCACGCGTGGAATCATGTTTCTGTTTCCATCTCTCTCATCAGGTGAGTGCTCTGGCTGTCAGCGTGCTGTCACAGGCCGGCATTCAAGGGTTATTGTGGCAGTACAGATACAGGGAGTGGGTAATACTACAGCCACAGTGAGGGGAAATGATCCTAATACCAAGCAGAAGTGCTAAAGTGTGACACTTTTTTACTTTTACTGCTTTTTATAACGTAAATTAAAAATACACATAAGTGGTGTAAGGAAGCAATACATGGACACCAGTGAAAATATCTCAGTCTATTCATTCTTCAGATGTTGTCTTTTAGTAGTATCCCTTCCCCATTTTCCCTGTTGAAGTGACAGATTTATCTTTTTATATTATACAGTTTATCTCCTCAACAACATCCTGCCTTCGACTGGGAGTAGAAAGGCAGCACAAAGCACCATTCGCTGTCTCGATCACCCTGATCATCAAGTTTTTTGACAGGAAACTGTCGAGCCTAAAAGCACTTTTACTAAATGACCACACTGAAATGATCACCAATACACTCTTCCAGATAAACATCACACAAGTTATTTGTAATTTTATATAAGTAGCAGGTATCACTGCAAGTATAAGCAGAGAGACATGGCACTCAGAGAATCCTGAACTGAGATATATGGGGGAAATTTAATAAAAGCAAAGAGGCTGCATAGAAACATCACTTTTAGAGGAAAATTATTTACTACTACTACTAATTTAAAGCAATCAGCAAACATTTTGAATGTTTTTTCATTATATCTAAAATAACAATAAAAAAGATAATAATAATAATAATAATAATAATAATAATAATAATAATTTACTTTATTCCTGCAGTACATTTAAAGGGGTTTACAACTTGCTTTGAAGGAAGCGGAAAGCAGGATAGTTTAGACTTAACCAGACAGCCAAATGTCAATTCACATATATTAAAAAAAACAAACAAACTACAAAACATAAAGATTAAAAATATAAGACTAAAATCAGACAATCAGAGGTGATTTAAACTTACTGACTCTGAAAAGCTTATCTCTTCAAGGAAGAGTGTTCTGACGCATCCTGATAGCAAAAGGATTGTCGTTTTTATGACTTTAATCACAATTTTGAAACAGTCAGGAGGGGTACAAACTGTTGACAACCTCTTATCTCTGACTTGGTTTTTGTCAAGAAAGCCAATGAATAGAAAGCCTTACTATGTTGAACTTGGTTCATAGTACACACCTCTGTTGTCTATAATTAGTCCTCAGTATACAATATACGATTCATTTAGCGTGGATAATTCTATCCTATTAGTGTGGCTTTGTGTGAAATACACAAAGACAATGTACAGGTCTTAACTCGGGTTATTTACGTGTTCTTCTGTAAACATCTTTCTGCATTCTGACCTAAACTGAGTCACTGTCACAGCAGCGTCTCAGCCGTTCGCCTCTGACTCTTGTCTGGTGTCTTACAGGGTCAAGGTGAGTTCAAGTGAACTCCTGGTAATGATCGTGACAGAATACTGCAGGTTGGTGGCATTAAAAAGGGACACCACAGGTACACACAGTGGGAGGTTACGGTGCCAGGTAACAGCACTCGGATCCAATGATCTGGATAATCCTGACCCTGAACTGTGAGCTTTACACTGGCTTGAAACACCCCACTGACCTCAGCCCAGATTCAGTTACAGCCCCGTGAAGGATTTCTCCAAGGCTCTCCTTCAGTGTTCAACAACAGCAGGTACATAAGTAGCACCTTTGTGCCCCCAATCCTCAGCAAACAATGGCATGCTCCAGTAAAGTGAGACTTTAACTGGTAATTATCACTACACAACATCAGACTAAATGTCAGACTAAACTTTGACATGCCACGCTAACACTTACTAAAACTATGCAGCACTAAGCACATTGTTTAGAGGGGATACACTGTATTGTCTAAAACTTGACACTGGTGTAATGCAATGCAAATGAGAAAAAGTATACATAGAAAAAAAAAAAAACACATACAACTTCATATGGATTTTTTCACATACACACATGCACCAGGCTGCAAAACCCTTTCTCAATTGTATCAAGTTGTTTAAATAAAGTAAATTCAATTCAGTTCAATTAATTAAAAATGCAAAATTAAGTCTATATCATTTGCACAAGCTAATAAATCCAAGTCTACAAACTGCTAACAGTTCAAAAAGATTCAAAGAGGAACTCTGTCACTTGACTGATTTCGGTGGTGAACGGTAACTCAAACTAACCCAGTTTAATTCAGCAGTATTGGGATAATTCACGTGTGCATCCATCCAGCCATCCATCCATTTTCAGACACTTTGGCACTTATCCAGGTCATGAGGGCAGCAGACTGAACAAAGACCCAGACCTGCCTCTCCTTAGCCACCTCCTCCAGCTCTCCTGAGGGGATACCAAGTAATCCCCTGGCCAGCTGAGAGACATAATCTCTCCACTATGTCGTGTGTCGACCCAGACCTTGACTGACCAGTAAGTCGACAGCTTTGCTTTCACGTTCTGATTTTTCTCTATTACATAAGATCAGTACATTATCTGTATTACTGCAAATGTGTCATTCCATCTGTCAGCTTCCTGCTTTCATCTCCTCTCGCTTGTGAACGAAACCCTGAGATACTTAAACTCCTCTACTGGAAGCATAAACTCCTTCTAGCCCTGTAGTGGACACTCCATCCTGTTAGCACATGGAGGTGTTAATTCTCATCCCAGCCAATTCATAAACCACCCCAGCACAAGCTGCAGGTTGTTGCTCTATGAAACCAACAGAACATCGTTGTATAAAACCCCAAGACCCTCCAACCTTTGGCTGCACCTATTCTATCCTAAAATTATGAACAGAATTGTTGAAAAAGGGAAGCCCTGGTGAAGTCCAACATCTATAGCAATGAGTCTGATTTATTTAATCCAAACCAAGCTCTTACTGTGGTGGAACAGGGGATGAATACCTCACGAAAACTACAACCCACAAAGAGGCATGTGGTCGAATGTTTTTTCCTACAAAACTCACATAGATGGGTTGGGCAAACTCTTATGTGCCCTCAGACAGCCCTGAGAGGAGATAGGGCTGGGACAAAACTGCAATCGTGAATCCAAGGATTGTCCAAGGGACATATGATTCTGTCCGTCACCCTGACATAGACCTGAAGCCTTGAGAGTGGCAATCTACCGCCCCAGTTTGCCTTTCCTGATTATGATTGGACATATCTTGACACAATCTGCTGAGTTTTTGTCATTTCTAAGGTGAAGTTTGTGGTTCTGTTGAATGACAACTAATATTTGGGCTTTTAGCACTCAAAACCTGTTGCATTTGACTGTTTTCAGTTCTATGCTAGTGTATCTGATAAACTGACAGCTCAATAGTGTCTCATCATCCTTTGATAAAGTTCTTACTTACCTGCACTGGTGAAGTCATCGATATTAGAGGGTGTTGCTCCCCCTTTGTCCACACCTCTTTGAATCACGGATCTCAGCTTCAAGAGCTTCTTAAGACACTGCCACACTCCTCAACAAGCAAACAGGTGAGCCACATCTCTGTACCTCTGGAGCCTTTAAAAAAAAAGCAGATTTGTATCATCAGCTCAGATTGACTTACTTAGTTTGACTCAAGCAGTGGATCTGGTGACCAATTAGAAACAGTGGGGACAAAAAATAAAAAACCCAATCCCTCCTGAAAAGATTGAGAGATCTTAGTGGGGAGCAAGTGGAGAGGTATAATCCCTGACATTTGTTCGGTGAAATAGGAGAAGTGCTTTTCAACGCCTCGACTTGTTAAATTTAAATCTGTGCTGAAAAGAGCTGCAGCAGTGTGTGGTGTAAGTGAACAGGCTGGACATCGATCTTCCTGGCCAAGCTGAAACGAAGCACCTTCAGCCGGAGCATGAAGACAGAAGAGAAGATGTAGGCCAAACATTTGGCAAAGAAGAATAAAAAGTAGAAACGCGACACTGTACCTTGCTGCTGAACATGTCTTAATTAGACATAACGGGCCTGGACAATAATGATGAGGTGACAGAGTAGCACAAAATCTGGTGAGGCTACAAGCTGGCACTGATCAGACGCCTTGATTAATCAGTCAATCAACATTAATTAATAATCAGCTGACATCTTACTCCCTTCCACACTCACTTATCTATGTCCTGCCTTTGTTATGATGCTTTAAAGATCTACTGCTAAGCTTCAAGCGACTGAACTGACGAGTCGTGACTGCACATGCTGTTCAAGGTATTTAACTGATATGTGTGTGTGTGTGTGAGCCTCATGGGAAATTATAGTTTAATGCAGGGGTGATGAGCTGCTTGTTTGTTTGTTTGCCACATGGAACCAATTTTAGTGGATCAATAAAACCAAAGAAATACATATACATAAATTATGGCCCATACATTTACAATACAAAAAGGATAAAGAGTTTTTCCATATTCAGTCAGCCTGCTGTTATCACAATGAAAAGCTTTAGGGCGATTCCTTATCAGAAACATATTACTTCAGTTTGTCAGTAAAAGGGCCTGCAAAACTAGCAATAACCCACACAACGTTCAGTAAAAACCAATGTCCATCCACTGGGCTGGATTTGACCTATGTATTAAATGAGAGTAAGAGTCTCTGGAACAATCTGAAAATCAAATAAAAAAAGCCAGTCACTTCTTTCTAAGTTCCATCTTTTATTTATGGAAGCCCGTTTCCGCCACTAAAAAAAAAAAAAAAA